CTCCCAGAATCCATAAGGATGCCCGTACGCTGGTTGTGGGATTCTGGGAATAGTCCAAAAAAAGGTAACATTTTCCCGCCTTTTTCTGTAAAGGCGTAACTACAGGTGATGCTAAACCCGTGTTTTGTTTTGTTTTTTTAAAAAAGCGTGTCACGGTTCCGCTTTTCATTGGAAGCAAAAGCAACTCGATACTGAGGAGAGGCGCTCCAATATTAATGTTGAATCAGCCCCTCTCCGGTCCTATACCAGCAGCAGCAGCAGCAGCACCTCCCCCTCGATTTCATCCGAGTTCTCCTGCTTCTGGGGTGAGGGAGGGAGGAAGCATGCAGAGGATAAAAAGCAGGACCTGCCATTATTGCTTCTCTCTCTCTCTCTCTCTCTCTCTCTCTGTGTGTGTGTGTGTGTGTGTCTCAGAATAAAAGGCACGGTGCAGGTTTGGTCTTAAAACAACCGCTTTCCCTCACCTCAGTAATGCACCATATTGCGTTCATGGCAAGTTAAGACTATTTGTGCCTCCGAGTCAATTCCGAGTTATGGCGACCCTACCCAGGACTTTCTAGGTAGAGAGTATTTGGGAGTGGTTCACCTTTCCCTTCATCTGGAAGCATTCTGACACTGCGCGGCTTGCCCAGCCTGGCTCTTCTGGGATAAACAGTGGGGGGTTGAACTCCCAACCTCTGGTTTCACAGCCAGATACCTAACTCACTAAGAGGTTTATTTATTTAATTTCATTAAACTCGTGCACCATACTGATTAGGGATAAATGCAACTCTGGGAAGTTTATATCCAGATTTGCGTAAGCATAAATTAAAACAAATCATAGTGAAAAACGAACATGACATATAATCAATCAATAAGGCAACCACTGAATAAATCAATTAAAACCAAACGATTGCAAACAAGTGATCTACTGTAAAAGTAGTCAATCATACTACTTTAAGAGAGGATGCTCTCAAAGACTTCAGTAAACAGCCTTATCTTAAGCATCCTCTTCAAGGGAGGAAGCTAGACATAGCTCTAGCCAGCTTCAGGGCAAGTGCCCTGCTTCAAATAAGGATTGTTACCTGTAAAAAGTAATGTAAAAAAAAACACCCAAAAACAAATGAAGGTACTTTACAAGTATAATTAGCAATGTTTTCTTTTTAAAAAATTAAGGCATGTTTGGAGATATCTTGAGAGGCATTTTCTAGGTTTTAGAACAGAAATTAATTTTTTTAAGGCAGTGAAACAAATTTTACTTTTTTAAATTGTAATGAGTTAGGTCAACAGGCTGGTGTTCAAATACTAGAATTAATGGGAATGAACTACTATTTCAATATAATTTGGAAAGCTCTGGGTAGTAGTGAGAACAAGCACTGCCTATCCTGTGTACACCATATAGTGAAAAAGGCCACTCCCTCTGTTCCACTCCAGAGAATGAGATAAATGAGAGGGAGAAGGCTATTGTCTCCCTTTGCTTACTTTGGATAGCCGAGATCCTTCATGGTATATAATGCAAACACATCAAGCATTGTAGAGGAGCAGGGCAGTTGTTCAATCCTTGCCCAGGGGTGGGAGCAAATAATAATGAAGATTTTGGTGCACTGGGCTCAGTTCTCATGACTATGTTGCTCAGCTGGAGAATTCAAGTGAACAAGTATATGGGTGATAGTAGCTACTCCTTTCCACTCCTTTCCACTTAAGAAGCTGCAGGACAGATGTCACAAGTGCATTGACTTCCTGGGTGAATATGTAGAATAGTGTGGCAGTTACAGCTTCCTAGCTCAATTTTTTTCTGGGAAAGGCTCAATACTTATTAGCACCCCTTGTAACAACCCTATATGCTGGGTTGCCTAGAGCAGTGGTTCTTAACCTTGGGTTACTCAGGTGTTTTTGAACTGCAACTCCCAGAAACCCCAGCCAGCAGAGCTGAGGGTGAAGGCTTCTGGGAGTTGCAGTCCAAAAACATCTGAGTAACAAAGGTTAATAACCAGTGGCCTATGGGAACAAGCTGAATGAATAGGCAGAGGTAGCTGCCTTGTAACAACCCTATATGCTGGGTTGCCAGAGGAACAAGCTGAATGAACAGGCAGAGGTAGCTCCTTGTGTTGTTGGCTTAGGCAGTTTTACAGGCGAGTCCACATGGGTAAAGTAGCCACGGGATGAGCAAGAGAGGAGGTGTGAGCATCTTATAATTCAGAAAGTACCATGATGTGACCTCTGTGGTTAGGTCTCATGTCTGTCTAGAGTAGGATACATTCTGGTGATAGAGTCTGAATCCCATTGATTTCTATCAGCATTTCTCTGTAATGAAAATAAAATAAAGGTAGCCCTGTTGGTCCATGAGGAAAAGAACACCACCTATAATTGGAAAAGAAATTTATTTAAAAATGCACCACTGATGTGTGTAGTTGTGCTCAAGAACTCAAAAGTGTGCAAGCCTATGTGTCATTGTGGATGTTTCTAGTAAATTTATCAGCCAGTTGTGGGCTCCCTCTCACTTACACACATAGTCTTAAGGGGTGCACTTAATTTAGCTGCACAGTGCAGTTCTGTGGCATATATTCTCATGTACAGAAAAAAAAGTGGTACAGAATTTCAGCCTTTCTTATCTTTGTAACTGCTATTGTTTAAAAGGCATCATTTATGAGATGGCTGGATAACTAAGCTAGGAATCTGCCTACGGAGACAGACAATGGGATTTCATTTCCCCTGTGTGCCTCCTGCAAGTAGAGACAACCTGTGTAGCCTTGGGCAAGCTGCACAGTGCCAGGGTGCTCCCCAGAAGAAGAGAATAATAAACCACTTCTGAATATGCTTTACCTAGAAAACTCTGAAAAGGGTTGCAATAAGTCAGAATTGATTTGTCAGCCTATGATGATGGTGGTGATGGTCTAATCATTGACAACCACCCCACCCCACAGCATTTAGTAAATTTACTGTTGCTCAGGGTTGTTTATTATTTATTTATTTCTTACATTAGTATACCACCACATTAGTGCAGTGTACTCCCCTACAGTCAAGTGAAAGCACAATCCATACGTATAAGTAAAAATAAAACACAGAATGACAGTCAATCAACACATCAAGATGTAGACACGTCAGAATAAAATGCAACACAGGACATATATACAGAGCAGCATAAAACACATCGAACAGGGGTGCCACATCAAGATGTAGACACGTCAGAATAAAATTCAACACAGGACATATATACAGAGCATACCTTTAGGCAAAGTAAAGCCAAAAAAAAAAACAAAAAAAAAAACAGGCCTCTCCGTAAAGCAATAGGCTTGGCCCTATCTTTAGGCAAAGTAAAGCAATACCAAAGTTTTGGAAGAGAAAGCGCCATGCCATGCAGGCTACCTACACCTTCTAAGCTTACCTGTTGTCCAGTGGGGGTAGCAACTCATACTGAAAATGCAGAGTGAGCGCCTCTTCACTCAGGTCACAGGTTGCCTGTGCTGCTGCCAGCAAGTGTAGTGGAAACCACTGCCTCATATCCATGTAAATGCAAAAAGAGGTGCGATTTTGTTCTTTGTCTCAGACAGAAAAATATATTGGGCTGTTCTACTGTTCTTGTGTAGAGGTGCTGTGTAGAAGCATGTTTAGGATTGCTGATTAAAGGTAAAACATAAATGGGATAATTTGAATATCCATTATTTCAATTTGTTGTGTTCAGAGTTGCTGAACTAATTCGCCACCTAGTGGTGAACCTCCTAGTAAAGAGCTTCACTGTACTCAACTGAGCTGGTCCTCAGATTCTACAGATGCAACAAAGGCCCTTGCCTGAGAGACAGATGCACAGTATAGAGTACGTATATAACAAGTGGAGAAGTGGAGAAATAGAGACCTTGAAGCTCATATTGTATCAGCCTCTAACTCATGGTTTCGATTCAGACTCAGACCTGCAGCGATGAAGACACAATAGCCCAGGATTGATAACCTTGCTATTATTTAGGGTAAATAAAGGTGAATTAATAGATATTGAAAGAATATACAGCCTTGGTTCTAAATTAAATAAAAATGTAGGTTACATCATCTACAGTGACACTGATTGGAAAGGGGAGGGGATTGACATATTTTTGTTGGTGTGAGAGTGTGCACATGTGTAGATTTTTTTTCCCCTTAGGACTTATTTACCCCAACATATACAATAGGAATAGATAATTGGGGCAAAAACCCCTGGAAGTGAAACTGTGCTTAGTATTGCCTGATATATGCAGTCGGTAATTTATTTTATCAAACAGACATTACAACAGCAAATGTGACATTGTGGCGGTAGTTTTGTGCTAGCAGTTCAATCCCCCATGACTTTCTTGTAAGTTTGTGGCACAGATGAAGTATAAAACCCTTGGTTTCCTGACCCCAGTTGTTTTATCTGACGAAAGGTCTTGGGTCTTCTCTGGTAGGCCTGGTCTAAACACACACAGACACACACCTGGGAAAGCCACCTCCACCTCCAGAGGACTCCCTGGCCTTCTCTGCCACTATTTCAGTCCCCAAACTGGTAGAATACTTTACCTGGTAATGGTATTATGCCTCAGACTCTTTCCCCTCTTTGGAGTTGTCATCAATTGCCAGCCCTGCTGGTGATTTTGGCAGAGAGACACAAATGCAACATAAGCAGCAAGTTAGAATGAACTTCCCCGCCCTGGATCTCTTCCATGAGGAACCATCTTCTGGGATCTTTTCCTCTCTCTTTTTTGGTTATGCTGACAGCGAGCCTCTGCTGCTTTCCAGATTCTTGTCTCCTGAG